GCCGCTAGCCTTTTTATATGCAATTATTACTGCCATCTCGAGGTGATCGGAATACACTAGCTAGAACCAGAACTTTCTCGAACCAACGCGGTAATTCCAAATATTTAATTACGCTTAATGCCACCTAGCGGGTAGCTGAAAAAGATAGTACATAGTACCACTACTCGCCACTAGATGTCGTTAAGTGTCACAATACACAATAATAATTGAAATGCAAAAAAAAGCGTAAGTTTGCTCAGGTCACGCACTTTGCGACTATCCTAGTCTAGAAATATAGTTAAGGGCAGAAATTGGCCCTTGGAACAAACTGCAAAAATCATTATGGCCCGAAGGCTTCAAAGTTTGGAGACCCCTGGTCTAAATTATAAATTGATAACCCTCATGCACGTAATGTCATCAAATTTATATGGTGCTATTCAAATTCGAGTCTGTGAATGGCGACCACGTAATTGGTAAGAGATACGGAGTACGTTCACCATTGAATGATACCAAAAAAATAACACTCGCTCTTTTGGTATACGGAAAAACCGAAAAATTCCAAATTTTCTTTCAAGTTGTAGCTTTTTATTAATTTTTTAAGGACAAAATACAAGCACTACAGGAAAATCTTCGAGGCGCTCTAAGAGCGGTGCCTGTTGAAGCAAATTACCAAAAATTGGAAATGTTGATCAAAAAATTGCTTAAAAATACATATTCGACATCCTTTATAAGAGTTCTATGAACAAATATATCCTGTTAACAATTCGAAAGTTTCCTAGAAACTTCAAACAATTTCAAATAACTCCGTAAATGAAATTTCAAATGAATTTTCAATTTTTTCCCGCATTTCTCCAGAATCAAATAATCTATCTAGCCAATTTTTCGGTATCATTTGGGAATACTGGACTGGAATGTGAGAAGTCCGGTATATTCATTTTTCTAGTTTCATTAAATTTAAATAACTGATCTACCATATTCTTATATAACACAATCCTCCTGATACCCGGTGGTTCAGAAAAAAAAATTTTTTGTAATGTTGCTGTCCCTAGCAACATTCAAACAAGGTGGTACAAATTTAGAAAATATTTATGCGAACTCAACAACTTACAATCACCCAGAATGATCTCAAATAATAATGATAATACAAGTGAAATAAAACTGCACAGGTTTGTGACGCAGCATATGGAAGCTTATGGAACCCATTCCATTTTCAGACGACCATGAATCTCTTTACTAGATCATGAAAGCGAGGGTCCTAAGAGTTTACTTCTGAAATGCAAACTCGCACCAAATGGAAAACTAACCCAGTTTCAATACTGAAGGTTTCTTGATAGTTATCAAGGAGGGATACCACATCTCCCCTTCAGTGGCGACTCTACTGATGAATTATTTTTCACATATTGATCACCAATTGTCAGATGGTTTCAAATACTTTTCAATACAATAAATTGAATATTCCACTTTCTGCTACTGGTACACACAGAATAAACTATTTGATTTGTTATCGAGAAGTTGTGAGTAGGTTTCATAATTTGGGTACCAACTAATTTGGGAACGACATGATTAAATGATTATTTAGTGAAATTGCCATTCCTCATCAATCTTTTGAAACAATTCAATCATACTAATTTCTCATTCAATCAGTACTATCTCCACTTCATATTTTTTCAGACACAGGGTTGCGTCAAAAACAGCTTTAGCTGACACTTCGTCCAGTCGTCATAAGGTTTTCTTCAATTAATGCAAATACAAATAAGACATCATGTATCTCTTGTAATGAATAAATTCGACTATAATTATTATTATCATTATTATCACTTCCTGTACATTTCACATTCAATCAAATTTGCTTTCTTCAACATAATTTTTATGTTCGGACATTTTTCAAAATACAATATGTTCAATAAATCAGGTCATTATTACTGCTTGAATAAACTTGGATGCAGAAAAAAGCAAAACTGATCTAACACAACAATTTCACATAAAAAACTTACCAGGATTATCTGCCAAAAACCTTAGTGCAACGACTCCATTTCTAGGAACTCTTATTGTATCTTTGCGTACTGGATTCATTAAGTTTCGTTTCATCAAATTATTCGATTTATCCATATCAATAACTTCATTTTTCAATGGCGGTGTCTCAAAAATTCTCGAACCGACAACATAGAAATGGTACCCATGGAGATGAAAAATGTATTCATCGTCATCGCCACCTGTAATTTCAAGGTAAAGATGTATGAATTTTGTTTCCGTCTTTGAAGTTATCTAATTGGAATTCAATCTTAGCAATAGATACATATTTGTCATAGTTATTAGAGAATTGGCGACTTCTTTGGTATTGAATTGGTATAGCAAAATCTCGAGAAAAACTCAATTACTTCTGCCCTACTTCTAATAATCTGCAATATTTTCAAAAATCAGGCTTTGAGTGACCCTTCGTCCCTTACAAGTTTCATGTAAAAATAGTATGGGAAGTTAATTCGAAACAATTGACACTTTTTTACGAATACACTAATCAAAACATGCTGTATCATTTGGGTGGTACTTCCACAAGCAGTGATAGCAGGGGTTATAAATTTGAACACATTCCAATTTCACTTTTCAATCCAATATAATTCTGAAATACCTAAGAAAATGATGAATTTTCCATATTTCAATAACCTAGAGATATTTTCAATAACCTAGAATATATACAAAACTAAGATACCCCAATAATTCTCAAAAGATGAGAGTATTATCAATTTCGGATTCGTCTGGATCCCTAATTAATTCGCATTAATTCAGTTCTTTTATCGAAGTAACTTCCGCCAATAAATGTGTTTATCAATGATTCAACATGAAGAAGAGTCATTAGTTATCCAATATAATGAATGGGATTCTGGAAATATATATTCAGATATTTCTAATTGTCATGAATATCGTACTAGATAACCCAAAGTTGAATGAGAGCACATAAAACTTGTTACTCCCACGCCGTAATATTGTAAATTTTATTTCATTACATTTTCCATCAAGAATTGATCATTTACAAAATATTGAATCAGTTTCGTCACAATCTGATCGAAATGACAGATACTCCAATTAGACTTCTGCAGAAAGTAAAATGAACGATATACGTTAGAATATAATAATAAATATTCAAATGAATTGGGAAATAAAAAAAAATCCTGATAAGATATATTTGTTGAAGTATTTGTTCAACAAATAAGATTCAAGTTTGGCGTTAAACAGTTTATTTGCCTCAATATATCTTATTTCGGAAAAACGTATCAAATGATAAATAGATACGGCAATAAAAAATAGATAAGGTATACTTATGCTTTTCAACATTAAATTTGTTTTCACGCCTGACTGAATATGAATTTATATCACCATGTTTCGTTTTATTGCCTATATTACGTTTTGTATGAAATAAAATCATGAAGATCTGTAGTCAGAGTCGTACATTTTTTCCTTTATAATGATAGCATGAGCTTTGTAGGTAGCTTGGCCTAATGTTATTCAAACAGTTCGAAATAACTGCTTTTACTTGGTCATTAGTAATTTTCAAATCAGTTTCTAGTATCTTTGTCCGCTGTCTTGAATAATAGCTCGTGAATTGTATGCACACTTTTGGCTGAATCAATTGCTAGCTTGTATACAGGTGCTAGTCGATAAAGAACCATATTTGATTAAAAAATCGCATCATCCTCTGTATTTCTATACACAAGAATGACATGAATGAACAACCTTCTCTCAAATACGAAAAGAGACAGATCGTTTATCATATATATGAAATGAAAAACAACAGTGGTCCCAAAATGCTACCTTGTGGTGTTCCAATGTAAAACATCGAAAGTCTGTGGAAAATGTTCTTGAAATGATATCCCATCTTTTATCTGTTCTATCATCAATAAGGGCTAGATTTTTTCATGTGAAAGCTCTGGAAATATCTTATCAAAGGCACAAGACAAATTATTTCAAATGTCCACAACCAGTTTATCGTGAATGACATCTACTAGTTGGTTTGATGCTGTTTCGGTAGAATTGAATTATATTAACAGGAAGTTATTATTTTATGTTTGTTGTGTTTGTTTTCATCAACGGAGTATTTTTATATTTTTCAAAAACATTTTGAAATTGAATCAATAGGGATATTGCTATAGTTTTGAATGATTTGTTCATCTCGCCTTTTTCGAATCTGAGTAATGTTCTAGATTTCCTTTTTTCTGAAAAATGGTTGAAAATAATGGAAGAATGTATTGTGCTAGAGTTGAATATATCAGAAAATATTGATGTGTTCTTGGGTTATCAACCTCTCACATTCTGGAAAATGAATAGATCTAGATCTGATAGAACCTACTGATAGGTTGATGAAAATCCACCATGATGTATTCAAAAAAACACACTTTAATGTGAGATTTTCACATGAGAGTGTGTTTTTTGAATACGTTGAATCTAGATCAATAGAGAATATGTTCAAGTGTAATGGATGCATGAAACAAATCACCCAAAAAGCGTATTGTGTAGAAACGTAGAAAATAGAGAAACATATTTCAAAATCAACTGGTGATTACACAAGAATTCAAGAAAACACAAATAATTCGCATACCTTTTTATTTATTATAACAAGTGTATTTCAACCAAAAATGGATCATAATTGGACGAAAATATGAACCTGAACTAAGTTTCCGAATAACACCCTGTATATATGCTCATGTAGATTATCGAATATAACATCTGGTATTTGATTTGTTGCCGTTTATTAAAAAATATCTATACATTTTTATTGTTTCGATTTCGATTTTTGTTTCGACAGATTAGGTTTTGTGAAAAAAAATTTTTTACTTTCTACTCATCCCCCTTTATACAAGAATGTGAAAATTTTCTGATGGAGGGTAAAAACCAATTGGGTTCAAAGTAAACTATTCATAAAGATGTGTTGAACAGGCATTCGAGTGAAAATTTTCACCAAGCACAAATTGAAAGAACATACCCACTACTTTCACATGAGCATTGAATTGTACGCGAATAACTTTTTTCTATTCAATTTGTACTCCAAACAGTTGTTATGGAATTGAAACCAATTCCATTCGTAAAAACATTACACAATATAGTATATGAAAGATATAAAATTTCATTGAGATTTAACACTATCATCCTTCATGGTACATGATTCTATATAATAAGCGTTAGACTGTCTTTACATAATGTCATCGTGACATGAGTAAATGTATCGCTTCCGGTGACATTAGATCGTAACGTTATGAATGAAATGAGTTTTCCGTCTTGTGATGTTATCTGAAGGTGCCAATGAGGTAATAAGTCAAATGTCTCATTCCAAAAAGAAATACATCAGGATGATAGTATTTCATTTAAGTGATTCAAGTAGTTATTTCGAAAGTACTTTTTATTTTTCTGAAGAGTGATTCGTTCCAGTTTCTATCGAAAGTAAGTTTTATGTATGTTTTCCACTTTTTTGGTATGAAGATGGAGAAGTAGAAAGCCAAAAAGCTTCCTATCTGGAAAGGAAATACTTTCCAAACCGTCAACCGTTCCAAGAAAGCTAAGTATAAAAAGTTCATATTTCGAATCATTCGATTTATTCATGAGCGGAACTCGTGAATAAACAAGTTACTGAAAGTTACATTTCAAACCTTTATATTACGTTTTGTGGTGAAGTTTTCAGTTAGCTACGTCACAATTGGTTTATGCTACCAGTGGCGGCTGCGCTTATTTTCTCTAGGGCATGATTTACAACAATATTATACTGTTATCCTCTCATAATTTGCTATGTCCGACATATATTCAATGAAATCGTCGACACTTGTACATTTCCTGCACTTTGGAAAAAATTTTGTAATTCCCCTGATCAATACTCAGATCTGAGACCTGTAAGTATTATTTGTTGTTTGCCTGAACTTTTTGAAAAAATAATTGATAAACGGATACGAGATCATCTGAATAATTATTCGTTACTACCCACATGTCAGTCCCGATTCCGCCCTGGATATAGATCCACTACAGCACTTCTGGAACACCATCAACGATGATGTTGCCCAGGGATTCAATCCTGTTATTGTATATAAACGACTTATTGGAAAAACCCAAGAATCCAATATATTGCTTTGCTGACGACAGCACACTTGTCTTGTCATTACATTTGGATTCCAGGACAATATCCTAATGAGGATCTAGAAGTAATTTGGAATTGGGGTGAAAGTGATCGGGTACAATCCAATGCCACAAAAACCCAGGCATCGGTTTTCTCCCAAAAGATGAATGTTTCCGAACTGGATATAATAATGTCAGGTCAGACAATTCCGCTTTCTGCTTCGATAAGTTTGTTGTTAAAATGGACACCAATATGTCTTGTCACAATCATGTCGCTAGAATTGCAAGGGCTGCACACCTCAGCAACTTTTGATGCTTCATAAAGCCCAAATCACAACTTCTTTGGAAAATTGTTCCCATGTATGGAGCTCCGCCCCCAAACATACCCTGAATCTGTTGGATTCCATCCAGAAAAGAGCCATCCTCCTGATTGGAGACGCGAATATCACTTGTGACCTTGATAGTCTGGAACATCGAAGAAAATTTGCAGATTTGTATCTCTTCTATAGATACTTTCTCGGGAAGTGACCTGGCACATTCGATTCCACCAAGAGCGGTACATATCAGGAATACGCGACGGACTGTGGCTGCTTATCGTTTCGAAATTCAATTCAGTACACCTTGAACTTCACTGTTTAAGAACTCTTTCATTTGGAGAACGGCGTTTATATGGAATAAACTTCCTGAGAACGGTTTTCCAAATGGATTCGATCTCCAGCGATTCAAATCCATTGTGAATCACCACTTTCGCACAGGCAACGCTCTCAGAGCGCCTTAAGGATGTTTCTGTAGTGCGTGTGTTTCGCCCTTCAGAAAAACAGTCATTATTCATATAACCACGGATCATAATTTACTAACCGTCCTGGTGCTGCTCCAAGGCATTTGATTGTATAAATCATGGTGTATTGATAGATATTATTCATTATCTTGGATTATTAGCAATTGCAAGTTGGCTCACCAGAAACTACGTTGCTGAGAGAACACATTCAGTGCTTTATAATAATTGAGTTTCAATTTATTTTCAAGTACTTTCAGGAGTTCCCCAGGGATCAATCATCGAGCCGCTTCTTTTCCTGATGTATATATTACGATTCCCTTCTAGAATTCAACACTGTTCAGTCAACACCTATGCTGATGATACTCAAATGAAAACAACTTTAATGATGCTACCAGCATACTCTCTCGCACAGCTATCTTATCAATATTTTTTGAAGAAAAATCCATCTAAGTCGAGAGTTTTACTGTTTGGAATATCGGCAGCTAGAAAGAGATGCCTATCCGAATTGAAAATTGTGAATGGCAGTGAGTATGTACCAAACAGCTTTCAATGGCCTGAGATTGCTATACTCGAAAAAAATATTCTGAATAAACGATTAAAAACAACTCTATGTCAGTCTCTCGCGTTTTCACACACAAGTTATGCCGATGTGATTTTTGGTTTCATATCCTTTCGAAATATGATATAACTAGATTGGAAAGATTACAGAACACCTGTATTCGCCTCATATGCGACTTACGTAGGAGAGACCATGTAACAAATGTTTTAAAATCTCTAGGTTGGATGAATGTCACTGAAAGGAGAGCCCTTCACGCCTGCTATTTATTCAAAAAAAACCTAACCAACGAAAGTCTTCTGTATCTATACCATTAAATAATAATCAGAATGGATGGGAAGGGTTACAAACTCATTTATTTAGAATTCTTGGAAATTCACAAACATACACATTGTGGGTGCAACCTGTTGAATGATCAAATCGATTTAGTTTACTCACCGGTTTTCAAATTGGCACATCCGCATTGTTAACTATAAATTCAGGTAGTCAATCAAGCCAAGTACCTCTCTTATAACATACAGGGGTGCTATAATGAGGGCTAATGTAATAAACCATCGTTAGTTTAATGTATAAGTTTGAAAATGTCCTTATAGGACGAAATTGCAGTAACGTTAGTTACAAATAAAAGTGGTGAAAGACATAGAAAGTTTCAATTCTCTTTTCTTCATCATAATATAAATATCCGATACAAATCAACGCTAACCCCACCAAGCCACAGAACAGCTCTCTTCACAGGTTCATTTTCTTATTGTGTAACATGGCTAACGAATAGAATTCCACCAGGTTATAAAGACTCATTATTGACTTCAATAAAGAAACACGTTATAATGAAATTTTGAACAAATCGCTTGCACTAGAAGTGATTTGAAGCATCTTGTTTAAAAAAAAAATTGAGCCAAATAACTGCATCAGTATTTCACATTACTGAAAGTTCTTTTGTGTATCTACTTGAGATGCACGTTTAATGGTTGAGTTGCAGAAGTCACGTCTGCCAACTGAACTCTGCCGTTTGACTGACACTATTTTCTATTTATTTTGTATTGTCATATTATTATGTATTTACATAATTTGTGTTTCCGTCGATAAAAACGATTATTATTATTATACTTGAGCAGATTCTCTGTTGATCTGTCACGTAGATTCATTTATTTTTCAGATTGTAGAAGTTTGAAAATACAGACAATATCAAGGAGCACTGACTCCTTCACAACAAAATCTCATTGAAAAAATATAAGAAAAATATTTATTACAATATTTTTCTTTCTTGTAATCATAAATTCCTAACAAATTACCTACACTAGACGCCTTGCTCACCTTGATCGATCAATATAATCTCAGCAGTGCTTCCCAACGGGACATGTTCAACATGAACGCATTCGCAAGTGATTTTTCCTGCACATCGAGCCGGCCAATTCGATTCATTACACATGGAGTCGAGTGGAACATCAGCTGGTTGTGTGAGCAACGGTGATGAAGGGTACACGAAAGTTATATTATTTTTATCCCTGCTTTCCATTTTCCGCTTCACTGGTTCCGTGGGAGATGACCGTTTTGGCGGGAGTTGGCCATTTTTCGCTTGATGATGGGTTTCCATATGTTGAGTATTTCTACGCTGGCCTGGCTGAATACGTTGTTGGACAACAGGTATGCAGCTTCCTTGAATTTTCTCCTAAACCAATGTTCCTCTCTATGCAAGATGTCAGCTTGGGACCACTCGATGTTGTGTTGATGAGTCCAAACATACTCTGCTACTCCTGATTTGCTGGTTTCCCCTCGCTGTGTGACCATGTGTGACCACACATGGTCACATGAGAAAGCGATACCTTTCCTAAACGGTTTTTGCCGAATTAATTAGTTCAATAGGAGTGAGAGAAGCAAAACTTTGCATCACTGCCACTTCCAATCCGTATTTAGAATTGATCGGCAATTTGAAAGTGAGATCTTTCAACCTTCCCCTAGAAATAAAAGTCCATAGGCGTTAGGTCCAGTGACCTGGCCGGCCCACGGTAGGGTCCTTGATTGGCTATCCCATTATTACCAAAAAATTGGTAATAATGGGAGTGCTGTGAGGCGAAGCCCGTCTTGTTTGAAAATATATTCTTCTGAGCTCCATTAGTGGTAATTCATCAACAAGGGTTTCAATATTTGGCCTTGAAATTTCTAACTATTTATGAGATGTGAGAGTGCCGTTATAAATAAACGGGCTGGAAATTCTACCCCTGAAAACACCTACCCACACACTGAATCCAAATTTTCCTTGACTTCTCTGCTACACAATAGAATGAGGATTATGTTGTGCCCAAGTGAAAGAATTGTAGCGGTTGAGAATGCCGACACTGCTCACATAAGCTTTGTTTGTCCAAATACAATTTAACGAAAAATCAGGCACTTGGTTACAACTTTCCAGGAACCACTTGTAAAAAGCCATGCGGCGTTCAAAATCTCCTGGTGTGAGTTGATGAACTCTTCTGGTCCTGTACGGCTTGATTTTTTTTTTCAAAATTATTCTGAAGTTATTTCTTGGTAGGCCTGTCGATATTTTCGAATTTCGCGTTGACGTTTTAGGATTATTTTCTAAAATGGCTATTTCTTTCAACTTTTTATCCATATTTGAGTCATAAAATTTCAGGCATTTTCTTTTTGAATTAATCAACATCAATTAGATTGTATCGTAATCTTGCGAAAATATCTATAAAAGGTTGTCTTCTCTCTGGATACCTCTCATGATACAAATTGCTTGCTGCTTCTGCATTTTCCCCGGTTTGTATAAAACAGACTATCGTATCCCATTCTTCATAATTCTCATACTTCATTGCGAATGTGTTTGAAAATTAAACAAAAACCACTACTTGAACAGCGTCTTTACTGCTTAAATCAAAATTTGACAGTTATCAGTGAAAATTTGCATTCTGTTCTATCGCCGCATTGTTCAAAGCCTACTTGATTAAAGTGTGCGTTTCAAAGTCTACATAAAAAGACCTAAAAGCTCCTTATTTCAAAGATGACTCTAGCAAAACATCAAGGGTGTTAGATTTTGGGATTTTGGGGAATTTAAAGCTCCATTGAAATATGCAGGAGTATATAGGGTGACTCATTGAAAATAATAGTTTTTCATCAATAACTATTGATGTCTCACTTGAAAAAATAAGTTTTTCACACAATATTCCTGAATATTTGAATAGAAGCTATAATTGTTGTGTCGTTCTCAAAACTTTTCAACTCAACGTACCTAGCTTGATCGTAAATTATTCAAAATTTTCCAGACTACATCTCGAGCATTGTCATCGGCGAATATCTTGATCACTTTTAGTCAATGCTGGTGGAACAAATCCTCAGTAGTATCCTAGGAATACGTTGAGTATTTCATTCCGAATTAAAAAAAAACTTATCAAAAAGCATTTTGACACGTTGAGCGGTCTAAGAGAGAAGTTTATGAAGTAGTTCTGCTAGTGCACATGCATCTGAAGTTGAATCAACAAGTACCCAAAATCAATACTTGTCTCTTGCATCTTCATTGAGAGCATGAGTTATTATCAGTGATTGCACAAACTTTACCTTCAGTATCTATCTTTGAAATTGAGTTAATTTTGTAAAATATTGAAAATGAAGTTGTTACACTTCAAATCAGAATACATTTTACATAACAAACCGGAATTTCGGCGTCGATATGTGACAATGGAGGGAGCATGGATCCATCACTTCACTCCGGAATCAAAACGATCGTCATCTGAGTGGAGAGCAACTGGTGAACCTCATCCAAAGCGCTCGAAAGCATAATAATCGGCTTGTAAGGTTACAGCCTGGGTATTTCAGGATGCGCGTGGTATATAATATCCAACAACTATCTTGAGAAGAAAAAAACCATCAACAGCGATTATTACATAGTGTTATGGTATCGTTTGAAGGACGAACGAATGAAAACGATGGCGAAATTGCATGCATTTCGCATTGCTTTCGCATTTTCCATATTCTTCAGATCTGGCTCCCATCGACTACTGGCCGTTGGCAGATTTTCAAAAATGCTCACCGGTAAGGAATTTCGCTTGATTTAAAAGATTATTACTGAAACTGAGTCCTATTTTGAGGTAAAAGATGAATCTTTCAACAAAAGTAGTATAGAAATATTAGAGTGGCGCTGGAATGATTGTGTGGCCAATTTTGAACAAAAAAAAACGCGTTTTCTTTCTTAGGCCCGGGACTTGGCCTATGGTTTAATAGACAGTTTTTTGTCATTGATGCATGAATGATTATTCCTTCCATAAACCGAAATATGAAGCGACCTCTAATAGAGGAAATCATAGGCTCATCTTGTACCTGAAATCATGAAAATTGTTTTCAATACGACTCACCGTTGATGGTTATTGAACAAAATACGTACTTTTCCATCTAACTGCTATTTCTAACTTTCGATTCTTATGGTTTCAGTAAATTCACTCCAAACATGGAAAATAATAGACTGAAGTCATTAAATTGTTTTTGACATAATCAACGAACTAATTTTAATTTCATCTACAACAGCTTCAACAACACCTGCTCGAGTTGTTGGCCTATTATTTCAATACATTCTGATGAATGTCTCCGTAAATTGTCAACTGATTTTGACAAACTTCTTGTAGTCAGCATAATGTACTATGACATTTGATTAGTTAACAAGTTTAGATATGCCACTTTCTTCAGGGGGGAAGTGGAGGTCAGAAATTGTATATGAAATGTCATTCAAAAGGTAAGATTCGATTTGTGCAAATATTCTTTGAAAAAAAAATTTTGTTCAACGACAAAAATGTGAAATTTCAAATCTACCCTTTACCAAAATAAGCTCTATAACATACTGTTCACGTGTGTTTATTTCTCTATGATGTAACTCGATTCATTAACGTGTGAAAATTACTTTTTAACATTTGCTGTTGTTTCGTTTCAAGTTATTCATTTTATATGAAGTAAACAGATTTTGAAATGAATTGATGGAAGCGAATAGATCTGAAACCATTCAAACGTTATCATCCTCAGTACTCACCCTGGATGGAAAAATGTTTTCCGTCAACATAATCAAATCCTAGATACAATTTCACATCAACGTCAGTATTTTTCAGGACCGAATCAATTTTTTCGAATGATCTGACATTCGACAAGGAAACTCCAGAAACATCTCTCGCAGCAAGGGATGTATCGAATATTCTTGAACTCTTCATGAAATCCAACGTTGGTAATGATGGTCCAAGAGTCGAGCCTTCATATCTAATGACTGCTTTACCATTCAGATCATTTCCTTCGCAGTTAGCATTAACCTTCATTTCATAGGTACCAAATTTCTGATTGGTTTTCAATATGAAGTCCAATCTCTCTCCTTTCGCTAACTTTATCGAAGATGCTTCATATGGCTTGATAGGATTACCATCAAGTGAAATAATTTTCAGTAAATGATTGTCTATAGCCAGCGTCATTGGACAGCCTGTGGTACCTCCAACATGAGCTACTCGAAATCGAAACCTTTTACCTTTTGTTACTCTGAAAACGGCATGAATTGTGTCACCTGATCCTTTACCATTGATTAAAATACTTCTAGTTTCTCCATTGAATTCCGGAGACCACTCTGATAGTAAAATCATATGGTCCTCCAGGTCAGCATCATACTGTTTCCTATGGTGTTCTGCCTTTTCAGTTTGTCTCACGACAATAGCTCCAAACAAACCAGAAGATCGATCTGTATCAGAGTGTGCGTGATAGAAATGCGTTCCAGGAGATGATGCTCTGAACTGGTATTGGAACGTAGTGTAACTTGATATAGGACACTGAGTTACCATGGGCACTCCATCCATGAAAGGTGCTTCATTATTGGGCTGTCCCCTCCAGTGTATACTGAGGCTGTGACCAGGAATTTTGTTGACGACGTTAACGACAAGGATGTCATTATGGCAAACATGTATTGAGGGCCCTGGGAGTTGACGATTAGCAGTAATTATGCCTCTGGAAGAACTATCTGTAATCGAGCAGAAAGAATTCGAGCACTCCGTAGAGTTATCTTGGCAGTTGTCACATATTCTGAAAATAAAAAAAATCGCAACATAAGGTTCATATTCATTCATCTTTTACAAAGAATTGTGGAAATTTCGCAAAGAAAGGAAGGAAGTAATCAATTTCCCAAAAATGTATCGCTCCTAAAAATATACCCCTTCCAATTCAAACATTACATTTTGATAATCTTCACTTGAATTTGAGCGTTCGATTCAGTTCAATTGGTTCATAAATAAAAATATAATATCATCAATTCAAAACATCAGGTCAGTTGATTTATCCGAAAATTTTAGTTGACTATATTTATAGTCATGGTGAATCAATTTTATACAGTGTCATCATTAAAGTGCGCACCATATGGGAAACTTTTTTTTCGAAAAGTTTCAATGAAGTTTAACTTCGGCACTTGTTTGTGCTTTAAATTTAACTTAAAATGATGCGGCCAACTGCGACCCACTGACGTTCAGTGTTTGTCAAATTCAACTTTTTTTTCGAAAAAAATTAAAAAGTGCATTTCTAGATCGAATTTAACAAAAAGTTACTTGAAAAAGTTGTGTCTACGGCAATTTTATATCCATATGCCAAATTTTATGCAACTAGGATAATGTTGTTAAATTTAAAGCACAAACAAGTGCCGAAGTTAATCTTCATTGAAACTTTTCGAAAAAAAAGTTTCCCATATGGTGCGCACTTTAATGGTGACAACTAGACAATAATTCTTTTTACATATAGTCAGTGGGCATACTTGAAGACTGACTATCATCTAAAGGAACAATTCGTTCAGGTCAGTCTCAACTTATCTACACTGTAGGTTAATGGACTGACATCTATCAGAAAACAACTACTTCCCTGGCTAATACCACGAAGGGCGTTGGTTTATATCCGTCAGGTGTTAGTGCAAGAGTGGCCAAACAGCTCGAAACCGGTCTGCAAGTGTGTTCCAATAATTAAAAATCTATTGCGGCAGTTTTATCGCCATCAGCATATGCAGAAATAACTTCAGAAAAGAATCCTTCACTGACATCTGATGGATATAAACCAAAGTCCTTCGTGGTATTAGCCGGGGGAGTAGTTGTTTTCTGATAGGTGTCAGTCCATCAACCTACAGTAAAGAAAGTTGAGACTAGCCTGAACGAATTGTTCTTTCAGATGATTTGATTTATAGCCAGTTTTCAAGTATGCCCACTGACTATCTGTGAAAACTTTTCTTTCCTTATATGAGAAATTGAGCAAATTTCAGATATGCGGTTGATTACCTCCTTCAAAGGCAGATGGGGCGATGACAAACCTGTTGTTTGTTGTCCGCTTCAGCCTAGTTCGAAGAATGATACTCTGAAGGAATTCGATTTTCAATTATTGGAAATCATCGACTCTATGTTGATGATAGACACTACCTTGCACTGACGAGTGGCCAAACAGCCCAATAATTTCTGAGTAATGGAACTGGAAATATTTTCATCATAAAACCAATGTTTTGTCAGAACAAGTTTCAATATAACATACTTGTGATAACTATTGCACAAATTACTGATATTATCAAGTGACATCAATATGGCATCAGAAACAGCACACAGTACTGATGAACAACTGTAGCCAGACCCGAATCCACTCTGATATATGGGAAGCAAATATCAGGTTAGGTTAGGTCTGGAGTGAATGGGTCTGTTCGACCCTTCACCGCAACCCGCAAGGGTTAATTGTGGCTCACACCTATTCACACTCGAACAAATAAACCCAGCTTCTTAACGGATCCGATTAGTTTGTATGGTGAGTGGTCTTTCAAATCAGATGGTTAGAGTACGGCTCTGTCGAACTATAAAAACCTGATACGGTCCCCAGCGGGGCAGATAGCAGATACAAAGTATTTGCTCTGCTATTCATCATTTTCCAAACAGAGACGATACACACTGTCTTCCGACACTCCGAGTCTCTGCATTCAAACGGCAGTGACCTGTAAGAAGGCCTGTTAGAGATCGTAGTTACTCCCTACTGTAGTTCAACAACTGTTTGGTATTTAGCTTCGATGAGTTAATAAACGGCTTGGAGTGAGCCAATCCTGGAAGATTCTGCCAGAAGTCCATAAATCTTTTTGCCATCCAGGTGTTTACTGTTTGTTTGGCAAAGCTTAAAGCGATGCCAATACAATTCAATAGCCTTGAAATTGAGTCGCATAGGTTCCTAGTCAGGTAGATATCTCTGTCGTGGGTCAGCGACTAAAAACACCTGCACCAGAACCGGAAGGTGTTTTTGATCCATCTTTGAACCAACAACTATCTGCTCTTAATATTTCTTTCTCCCGGGGGATCTAGTCCTCTCTACTCGGGAACAGCACCTTATAAGGCAGTTCGTAGTTGACAGTTGGAGGCATAAAATCGTGAATGCTGTGACTTTCAGTGTCAATCAACAGTCTGTTGCACTCTGCATTAAATTGATTTGTGCAATTGGCAATGTGCACGATACTGTATACAATCCATCTAGCCTCTCTCTCCGGAAAAATGTGGAGAGAAGGTAGATCTAGAAGTATCTTCATAGCCAGAGAGCTTCGCCTGGGCCGGCAATTGCACCATAAGTAATCATTGGTCTGATAATCATAACATGAATCCAATGGCTTTGTTTGGGACCTAAACCCCAAGTTTTACCACAAATCCTTTGACATGTCCACAGGGACAGTCTGGCTTTATGTAAAACTTTTTCCAAGTGAGTGTTCCAGGTGATTTTTTATCAAGAGCAATGCCAAGATATTTCAAATATAGCATATATCAGAGTGTGTTATCATTTGCAGTTCAAAAATGTTTTCGTACTTTCGATAGGGTTGGCAGCACACTTATACTTCGTAAGTGAGTGTGTTCCGTTGGATTACTGATTTTTGCTAATGGCAGTACATAAGCACACTTCCAAGCTTTGGACAAGTAACAACAATTCAAACATTCATTCAAAACATGTGTGATGTATATAATCATATGAGGACAATTGATATTCATATTGTCAGTCCCAAAAGACTTAGTTACTATAAATGATTGTGGAAACCTGATCCTCAGTTGTCTGAGACAAATGCAAAAAGCTGCTAATGTTGTCTCTGATAGAATTTAAGAGTAGTTTACTGTATCAGTGAATGTAACATAACCAACAAAAAGGTGTGTTCTCGTGAAATGAAATTGAAAATTAACAATGCAATTCTCAGTGAAGTTAACTTTTCAACATTTCATTTCTTTGATAAGTAGGTACAACTTACCTGGCACAGGAGTTAAATATAACAAAGTCACTACTGCTGCTACCATTCCCAAAACTATTGATGCCCTAATAAGCATCAAATTCATACCACTCATTTTTGGTGTCACCAAATGAATTGATTTTTCACTATAATCTACCATATCACAAAAATTCCTCAATAAAACTATCTACACATATTCTTTTTTTTGTCGATTGATGGTGGTTGGATTCGTGGTTCAGATACTGTCCCGTATGAGTGGGTTTTCGGTATACAGATGTTTCCCACTTAGTGTCGGTCCTCTTCACCAAAACGTCTAAGAATGGCAATTCATTGTGGATTTCCTTCTCCATTGTGAAAGTGATGGAAGGTCTCACGCTGTTGATGTGTTTCAGAAAGGCGTCTAGTTCAGTATTCCCATGGTTCCATATTATGAAGGTGTCGTCAACATATCTCAACCAGACTCGAGGTTTCTTGTGGGCTTCTTCAATGGCCAGAGTTTCAAACCACTCCATATATATGTTGGCTATGACTGGTGAAAGTGGCGATCCCATTGGCAGTCCCTCATCTTGTGTAAAGAATTCGTCCTTCAGTTGGAAATAACAGTTTCGTACACAGCATCCTAGTAATTCCATAATTACTTCTATAGGTAGATTCGTTCTCTCTTTCAGGTTCCCGTCTTCGGATAGCTTTCTCTGTATGATTTGGAGTGCTTCTTCGACCGGAACGTTGGTGTAAAGGCTTTCCACGTCGAAACTAATTAGTTGATCTTCCTGTGTGACCTCAATTGACCCTAGTAGTTCGACAAAATGCCTTGAATTCTTCACAAAAGACGATGTTTTTCCTTGTAATGGTTGTATTAAGGGAAGTAAAAATCTAGACAAGTTTTGAGTAGCCGAATCTCTGGAGCTGATGATCGGTCTAAGCGGAACGTCCTTCTTGTGGATTTTGGGTAGACCATACAAGTGAGGGGGCTTACTGTGGTGCGGTGTTAGGCATGATCTTTCCTTGTCCGAAAAATAGACTTGGTGTTTTTTCAAAATCTGGTACAACTTCCTTTCGATTGATGCAGTTGGGTCCCGTACGATCTTTGTGTATCGTCCCTTCTGCAGAACCTCTTCGATCTTCTGTTCGTAGAGAACGGTATCCATTACCACAGTAGCGTTTCCTTTATCTGCAGGTAGGATCTTAATGGTGTTGTCTCTACGTAGGCCGTTCAGAGCTCTACGTTCTTCCTTGCTGATGTTAGATGTTGGAACTGGTTCTCGATCCAACTGTTCTCTAATTTTCCATCTGAACTCTTCTGCCTCGGTCTGGTCAATGAGGGAACTGGTGGATTCCACTGCAGTAATTATCTCCAAAGTGGGCACAGATGTTGGCGTAATGGCAAAATTCAGGCCTTTCCTCAACAAGGATTCCGCTATTCCCGTGAGCGGGCGGGAACTCATGTTGATGACGTTGGTGGCTTCATAGTTGTCCTGTTTTCGGTCTGTATGTGGGCATTGTTTCCTCACTAACTTACCCCACTTTCTGTTGTGGGTATTCAGTAGACAGTAGACAATACCTCAACATGAAATAAGTTTTGAGTATATTGCAATAAGTTTTCAGTGTATTTTATTGAATTTCGGTAACCACACTATTTACTTTTATTTTATCTCAATTGCTGCAGTGAACTTGAAAGCGATAACATTTTTGAATAGAGAATAAAGAGACCGTTTAAACGGTATATCACAAGCCTATACTTCCCATTTAAAAAATTGGGGGATGTACCTGTCATTCGACGGAGATTGAAGGTAGCTGTACCATTTCTCCGTTGAAGTATGTCAATTTATAATTTAAATTTGACGTGTTTCGAAATTTCGTTAAAATATGTTCCGTAACCGAAATAATGAATTTATACCATTTGGCTTCAACCACTGTATATGTTATAGGACTATCTTACATATACGTGAATACTGTCTTTGGGTTTGTCCCATTTTTATTCCTATGGAACTAAAAAATATTATGTATGAGGAGAATGTATATGAGGGGAATATATCTGAGGGTCAACAAACATTCCAGATATGATCAGTTCAAATACTCACATATTACTTTTCAACATTTCAATATGCATTGTAACTCGACATATCATTGGCCAGTCTAAATCATGGCAAGGTCTATCACAGCTTTTAAAGTTTTGATCTGAAACAAAAATTCGTAGTATGAAGTTGATATATTTGATACATTCAAACTTATATGAAAAAATATCCTTTGAAGCATTGTATCTATAATTGTTTTCTCAATACATGGTAAAAAATTTCAAATAATGAATAATCTGTAAGAGCAGTACTTGTGATGCACTGCTTGGAACCTGTGTTCCTCGCCGCGGTGTTGAAATAACGGTTTGGTATAATATTCATGTAAGAGCAGTTCCTGTGAAAAACCATATCAGGATCTTCATTTCACAAAGGTAATTACTTCAAATCTAGGATTTTTTTTAGAAAATTGTTTCAAGGTATACTGAATTGAACCTCAAATACACCACCATCGAGTAAATCGAGTTGACAAATCAGTCGCGAACGTGTCACTAGTAATAGTCCTATATAGATCAAAACAATAGGAAAATTAGCTCCTGATAATCTGTTGAAATTATTCAACTGTAATGAACCTTTTTCCTGAAGTACGAAAAATCATTCAAAAGCAGCGCTGGTAGTTCGGTAGGGACAAACACTGCCTAATCCTCATATAAATATATGGTAAAGTACAATTAAAAAAGAATGTTTTTAACAGAAGAAAATGTTCCTGGAGCAAAACTAAAATTCGCAACTGTAAAGGATAACAATGTTGTAACATTAAAACGTTGGCTTGCATGCCGTAATTTAAAAGTAA